AGTTAGCAGTCAGGGCAGGACTTTAATAACTCAGTGCTTCTTGATTGCAAGCACTCTAACCAGTCAGCCATGCTACCTTCCTTAGTCTGGCCTGCGTCATGGATGTAATCTAACCCTGGTTAGTAACATCTGCAAAGCAACTTGGATGTCCTTGTTCTGGGCCCCGAGAAGACTTAGTAAATTACTGGAAATGCATTCAACCTGATTGGCAAATTAACAATGGTTTTTTTAACAGGCCAATTATGGCGTGTACTCAAATCCTGGTATACGGGTTCAAAGGGGGCCCAGAATGAGGAATGCCATGCTGCCATGCCATGTCTGTGGCCCAGACTACCCCTAGCAAGGAACGGATGGATAAGATAGATAAGTTCCCTGATAAGAACTTTCATGCAAGTGTGATCCTATGATTTGCCAAGAACCAAGCAGTCATGAATACTGCAGTCAGCAGTTGATAGTGTAATTGTTTTAGACTTGTACTTACTTTTTATTTCCAGTTTTCTTAATAAATTTTTGTTAATATTAAATCTTAAAATTTTTATTATTAAGTCTTTATTCCTGTCTGTTGCTGTCGTATGAAATCCAATTCCATGCTATCCAATATGGCTTGTCATAAAACTCTGCAAACTCAATATGGAATTTTTCTTTGTCTTTGGCCAGAGCAGTAATAGGTTATGATTCCGTCATTCTTGAGATGATTTGGTTACTGGATTTGCATATCTACCTCAATGTTTTTAACAAGTCTTGACTTGTTCATTCTGTAGATTCCCCCAGCTCCACCCAAACCAGATTTTGATGTGTCTCGTGAAAAGCTTCAAAAACTTGGAGAAGGTACCTGTACCATTTGTTTGAGCTTTTACATTTCAAGATGAGCACCATGTTTAGGTAGCTGTCAATGGTAAATTAGGAAAAGTGACTGGTTAACTCAGAAACAGTCTAGTTATTCACCATCAGGCTTGTCAAAAGTAGTCGGCTGCCGGCGAAAATCACCGCCTGCTTGGTTAATATCGGCAGGCTACTCTGCTTAGAATATTTTTATGGATGGCGTTTTTTAAATTAAATATCCCTGGACTGGCCATTTACTTTGATAACTCGGCTGTTTACTTCAAAACTTTCTGACAACCCTGAGCATGTGTTTTCTTTATTTCAGGTGAAAACACCATGACAAAAGAGGAGTTCCAGAAAATGAAGCAAGAACTAGAAGCGTAAGAGTGATATTTTATATTTTTTTTGATTGATGTCATCATGCCTATTTTAGAATAGTTAGAATAAAGCGATTTTGTTATTTTCAGTGCGTGCTTAACATACCTTGACATCTTGCAATGTGGCGCATTGAGCACAAATTCTTATTCTTTCCTTCATCGAAACAAGGAACAAAGTAAAGAGGACAGAAAAACAAAATAGTTTTCTAGGCAACAAAGCAGTTATAATCACTAAAATTGCTGTTTGTTAGAAATTGCCATGAGGAACCACAAGTAACCACGAGTAACCAGGTTGAGTATAATAATACATAGATTTACCCAGGGCTAAAAGTGAAGCTCTGGTTAGTAATACTTATAAACAAAAAGAATTACATTGTGTAATGTTAAACGGGAACAGCAATGAAAATGGCATCAAGATCAATAGATCTAATTAGCAAAAAAACAAATTTGCACGTGCAGCACACATTTTTGTCTTTCTTTGCCATTGTTTTGCACGACTACAGCGCTGTTTTGTATGACTAAAACATAAAACTTCCTAGTTACACATTATTTTTATGGAGGAATTGCCATATGTGCTTACCCAATATTTTGTTTCCTGAGTTCATGTTTGCTTTTATTTTTCACTGGCCCTCACTTACACCTTGCTGGCTGCTCCTTGCTGAACGCTCCCTGCTGGCCGCTAGCATTTCTCATTCTCTCACCGCTGCTTTGAATTTTCATGTTTTTCTTCCTATGAAATTCGTCTCCTTTGTTTTGAGTCACTAGCTCTAGCTCTTTCTCTGCTATCCACGTGAGTGTAAACATAATTTAATATCTTGCCAGTTCTCTCTGAACTTCATTGGTTGTCAGTGTTTTATCGTATCTACTTTAAAATTTTAATAAATTTCAATAAAAACTTTATTATTACTTTTAAGGCCATACATGGCGTTTCACCTAGCTGCGATATTTTATTGTAGCATTAGGTTCCCTTCTGCTTATTCATTGTGATTGCATTGCTCTATTGTTTTGGAACGTCCTAAGGGGTGCATGTATGCAACTTTAGGCGCAAGATCGTTTTCCATTGCTGCCCCTACTGTGTGGAACAGCTTTCCCATGCATATCTGTGATATTGAATCACTGGGGCCTTTTGAGAGACATGTAAAGACATATCTGTTTAGATTAGCTTTTGCACTGTTTTAAAATATTGTAAATTTTATTTTCATTTTATTTAGTTTTTTTTATTAGTATGTTTACCTTTTTTTTACCTTTTTATCGGTTTTACCTAGCATAGATTCATCTTGTAAATTTTAACCAGTATATGGACAATGTAATGCGCTTTTGGTGCTGTAGCAAATTCATAAATTATTGTTATTATTATTATTATGATTAAAAATTATTCTTTCTTTCAGGGAGTATCTTGCTACTTTTAAGAAAACTGTAGCCATGCATGAAGTTTTCTTGACACGCTTAGCTGCTCATCCTACCCTGCGAAAGGACAGCAATTTTAATGTCTTTTTGGAATTTAAAGGAGAGGTGTGTACCTTTCATTGTGTAGCATTAAGTACAGGGCAAAAAATTCTTCGAGAAAAACATAGGTAGCTGCCCAACTCAGTTAAGACTTCTTTAAACTTTTATGAAACTGCTCTTCTTATAAAATTAGTCACCTTCAACTGACACTCTCATCTTGAATTTTATTGTGGTTTATTAGCTTGCTGTAGGTGAACATGCACATAAAATTTAACCCAAATTTGACAAATTGCCTGTGAAAAAAACTCTGATAGCATGTGTAGCCTTATTATCATCATGGAGCTATCTGCCATGAAAAAATATCCTGTAAAATGCAAGGTAAAATTTAAGGAAATCTGCTTGATTTCATTTTGTTTGAGGTATCTGCTAGAAAAATTGTGCCATTACCAAGCAGGTTTTGTACAAGGACAAATGTTTTTTTCTCTGTGATGATTTGCTTGTTAAAGCATGTGTGAGTAAGTCAGCACTGAAGGCTTTAGAAGAGGATTAGAAGCAAGGGGATCTTTCTGAACAGAGGTTTGATTGACTAAGAGTCAATGAAGATGGTGATCTTTCCGGGCTGTCATTAAGGTTCTAAAAAGCTGGCCTCAAGTAGGGAAAGTAGCTAAAATAGTAATTGGACAAATCCTCAAAAGATAAAAAGATATTTGTTGTGCTCATTTTAAATCTGAACCGTTAGCTGGCAGATTTTACTGAAGTTGCTGGCCACTAATGGCAGCCCTGTTGAAGGATGCGTGTCTTTTGTGACATGTATGGTCATTATTTTAATTATATCTCTTACTCAAGCTCAATGTACGGGGCAAAAACAAGAAGGAAAAGCTTGGAGGACTCTTTAAAGGCCTTGCTAAGGGTGTGGATGAAGTCCTTATATCTGGACAAAAGGTAAATCTTGAGTTAACCTATGTATAGTTAAATATTGTTAACATATCCATGTGATACCGTGTATTTAAAGGCAACAGGTATTACAATGATCTTATTCTCTATGAGCATGACATTGAGGTTATATTATTTCCTTTTTCAGAGGTTCAAGATATGAGAAATTTTTTTAGCTTGCATTTAGTTTTACTGCAGCTTCTTTGTGGTAATTGCTATTTTGAAAAAGTAATCGAAAGTAACTAAAAAGTATTTTTGATTTATTTTAAAAAGACAAAGACATCCCAGCAGTATTTTGATATGATTGTTTTGAACTAGTTCTGTGTCCTCACCATAAACATCTCTTGGTGACTTACGAGCTTGCGTAGGATGATTCTGTAAGAAATTGCATTAGTATTAATTGTCAAAACATCAATAAATTAAGGTGTTTGTATCCTGTTGCTAAACAACAGACTGAACTTAATTTTTTATATATAAAAAGAAAAATGCTTGGGCGATTGTATAATAAAGTTATTTGAAAAAAGAGAAAGTTCCTTAGCTATTTGCTGGTGGTAAAATTATTTGTAATTAAATTTATTATTAGCGATCACCTTTAAATAATTATTTCTTTGTTTATATAGTTAAAGGTTTGACCGTTTATGTTATTAGATCCAAACTGTCAGATTATCAAAAACTTATTTCTCGAGTTTGTTTAATGTTTTTTAAATTAGCCAATTGTACATTTGCATCATTTACTTTTGTGTATTAATAATAATTATTAATACACAAAAGTAAATGATGCAAATGGGTGTAACTATTTTTTCAGGACCATGATGAGTTTTTTGAGAATGAGAAGAAGTTTTTAGTTGAATACAACATGAAGTAAGTTTTACCTGAGAGTTGAAGCTATCAAGTTTACTTTTGTTCTGTTTTTGTTGTAGTTATGAATTCCGTTAAAGGGGCTATGTAACAGTATTTGCTATCTTTTTGAAAAGCTGAAATGTGTCTTTGCATCAGTTGGATTACAAAACATACCAGTCCAGTTTTGTTATGTAAGACTATAATTGTGTAGGCATTGAAACCTTTTCCTGTCATCTGTTGCTATGAATGGCAAGGATGGATTGGATTGAAATTTGTGAAAGTTGCAGGGTGCAAAGAGAGTCAGTTTTACAGCCTGCCATTCGGGCAAGCTGTAGCTAGCATGTACTAGCCCAAAAGTCATTTCAACTAGCCCCAAAACCCTTTTTGATTAGCAGGATTGATTACAATCCTTCTGTAATTTGAATTTCCCCAAAAACAGCATTTGCCCGTTGGGCAAGTTAAGAAAAAAATCACTAGCCCGATAGCAAAATCCACTAGCCCAGGCTATCGGACACGACTTTCTTTGCACGCTGAAGTTGGGACAACTTTTTCAAGTTTTACTGCTATGCCTGCAAAAATCACCGAAAACATTATTAAGGTTAGTACGTGCTCCCTGATAAAAATTGCTTGATATCTTTTAAAACTGTACAGGAACAAAGGGCAAAGGCACTGAGCAATGACTTCCTCATGAATTGACCTGAAAAGTCAATACCTTGGTGACATACTGTAACACCTTTAAATCAACAGTGTCCTGTAAGCAGTGAGGACCGGTTACTGTATTTATTTGAATAAGCATCCAACCTTGAATTAGTGCCCACCTCGAATAAGCACCCACCCCCACCCCACCCCTTGGGTGACAGTGAGATTGAAATTGAATAAGTACTAGTATAAAGAGACTTTTGTTAAGACGGAGTTTTCTTCAGAGTAGGGGTAGTTTACAGAAACATTGCTTTGTTACATCTTCGCGTTTCTTTATTACCATTTGTTGTTTTGTTGCAAAATAAACATACTACACTTGCTGAAAATGGTGAAAATCTAATAAGCACCCAGCCTCGAATAAGCACCCACCTTGAATTAGCGCCCACTCTCAAGGTCCAAAAATTTAATAAGCACCCAGGGCGGTTAATCAAATAAATACAGTATTTAAACCATCAATTGAACTTAAGGCCTCTGGATTGCAATTCCAGCACGAGTTCCAACCACTCAGCCACGGTGCCTCTTAACCCTTTGTGGTTTTCACTTATTAGGTTAAAGGATGCTACCCGTCAAGCTGATCGCATGACAAAGACCCACAAAAGTTCAGCAGACTCATTTATCAGGATCTCTTCCTGTATTTCACAAATGGGAACCAGCGAATACATGGACATAGATCGTTTTCTAAATAAGGTATTTTGGTTGTTTTATTTCTTTCTCCTATACTGTGGGAGTCCATAATGGTGGGGAAAAAGACATTTCTCTGTAAGCATTATTTTGTATGAGAGGGTAGCATACATTGACATTTTATTTTACCTCACATTGAGATGAGCATCAAATTATTCAAGAACAAAAATATTTGAAAAAAAAAAAATGGGTGAACATATTCATGCCAGTCATGAGACTGCAAGGTTGGCCTAAACATAAAGAAAAGAAAGAAGAGTTTCAGTAATATATTGAAGCTCTTCTTTTACCACTCAAGGTACTGATGTGCAACTTAAGAAGTGTAAATCTAACCAAAAGTACAAGGCTATGACAGAAATCATAAATATATAGATTTAGCCAAGGCTGAAAGCGAAGCTCACATTAAATCAAACAATAAACCTGTATTCCACGATTCAGTTAACTTTAGAGCACATTCATGTGACTTTTGAGGAAAGGGTAAAGTGATTTTAGAGAAAAATAATTTGGAAACAGCCCAATAGTGAACCAAATCTTACATCGAGTTGATAGCCTCCATTTTGGTTACAGCTTCCTCCCCGCTTGCACTGACTTTTCATCTTCTTAGCTAGAACTCTCAGCCTCTTTCGAATTAAAGTCGTAACAATGCTTAGAAACAAGCCAGTAAGGGCAATTCTTTTTTTAATTTCCGTTTAGCTGACACAGCTTTAGCAGAAAGCTCTCTGTGGTGATTTTTCATCAACAAAACAAAATAGCAATATCGCTCTCGCATCTTCCGCCATTTTGTTCCGTCAATTCATGAAGGACACGTGGCTCTGGCGTGGGTCATCCACCTTGGAACACATTCCGCACTATGTGATTGGCTGTTGTCTAATCCCTCTTGGGATCTGTGGTCTTAAAATAACTTGAGGCAATTACCTATGGAATAGGGTGTGTATGGGGATGCCTTCTCTGTCCCCTTTATCCTCTCTTGGTTTGAAACAAAAGGAAAATAAAATTTAAACCAAGGTTAAATTGAACCACAACATCTGCAATAGCAGGGTGTCCATATTTCAAGTAAACAGTTGACTGTCCCAGAAATGGTTTAGAAAAAGAAATCGTGGTCATTCAATTTTTCAAAGTTTGCCCCATTTGATTTCTAGGTTGCTGAATACTTTGAGAAAGCGGCATTGGAAGTTGGAAGCGAGCGTTGCATCTGATCAAGACCTGAAAATTTCAGACCTCCTTAGATATTATGTGCGAGACACAGATGCCGCTAAGAATCTGCTGTATCGTAGAGCTCGATGTCTACATGACTATGAGAATGCTAACAAAGCTCTGGACAAGGCGCGAGCTAAAGGGAAGGAAGTTGCTGCTGTAAGTACATCTTTGCTAGCTGACTGAATTTCAAAAGGACAAATTGCACACTGTTTTTAATGGGGAAAGATAAGCATCTTATCTCTCTGCAAACTGATCCTTAAATTCTATTTTGATTTCCTGATTTTGTCTTTGTGTCATCTATACCTTATTTGTGTTGGAAAATATCAGACTCTCTTTTTTCCATATTTCTGCTCCATTAGCATTAGCCACCATGGCAGGCAGATAATGGGCCTGAAAAAAACAGGCGTGTGAAGGAGACCTCTCCCCTGGCGTGTGTCCCTCGCGTGCCCGTCCATTCTCTTACCCATTAGGTCCCAGGCGCCTGCCATGCAGGGTATATTAACGAAATGTCTCTTCTGACCTTGCCTTTTCCTTTCTGCATCCTTTAACCCTTTAAACCCTAAGATCAAAATTAAAATTCTCATTTGTTGCCCCTATTCATTTACTATAGAAGTAGTGGGGAGAAGTTGTTGAAATATCAAGCAAATACATCTTGTGTGATCTTGTCCTTAATTCTCATGACCACTCTATTTTACAAAGTACTGCTATTACAAGGAGAAATTTGATGCTGATCACTCTTTTCTCATAACAATATCAATACAGAATCAAGTAGAAAGGTTATAAGAGTCAATAAAATGGTTGCTAAAGGGAAAAAGACATTATATTTAGCTCCTG